CGCGGTATATTTGGTGCAATTTTCGTCTATGTCTACATGGAAAAAGCCATTTTTCAAATCTAGTGTCGTGAAGACTTTGACTGTTCTAAGCGATCAAGTACTTCCGGAATTAAAGGCAGTGGAAATTTGTCTTTAATAATCTTCTTATTTAATTTCCGATAAGTCTATACATAAACGTTTCGAATTATTACGCTTGTTACACAAAACAATAGGCGCCGAATAATTAGAATTGCTAGGCTTTATTATTTTTTCTTTCAGCCATTCCTTAATTTGATCGTCAACAATTTTTTGTTCCGCGAAAGACATGTATCTTCTATTTTGACAGACAGGAATATCATCGCATAAATTTATTTGCATCTTGAAGTCAGATTGTCTATTTTTCCGAGGCTGGTACGAATTAATTAAATTACACAGTCTTTCTTTATGTTCTGCATTCGAAATATGCGATAAATCAATCTCGTTGACAGAAATAGCATTCACCAGATGTGAAAGGTAATTAAACGTCGAGCTACTTCCGCTTTCGGGACTTTTGTTTACATTAACAGAGACGCCAGACGATTGCGAAGGATCATAAACATTCTTCAATGAGACAGCAATATTCAAATTTCCCATAACGCAACGAACGTTAGAATTTCGATATGACTCAGCAGTTATCAAGTTTACATTACTTTTATTCCGATGAGAAATTATTTGAAGGCCATTCTCGGTAAAAGAGAAGTTAAACTGATTCAATACATCCAAACCTAATACAATTTGATTACATAATGACTTAACAACATAAATTTTCGTACGAAGTGAAAAACTATCAATTGAAATATTAGAAATAAAAAAGCCGATGGGGTACGTTTGCTTTGATTCAATTCCGTTTAATGTGATATCACTACAATTTAAATTAGGAGAACCAATCTGCTTGTGTAACTCTACGCTGCATATCGTTACATCTGAACCAGTGTCAACTAAACTATCAACTAAATGATTATTTATTTCTACAGTCTTCATAATTCTATCCTTGTCACAAATTCGTTGTAATTAAAGCTGCTTGTGTCTCGGGGGTCTGCTCTGGACAGTTCAGTTGAATAATGCCCGAACTTCTTACATTTTAATACATTTTACACCCTTCGATTTGTTTACACAATGCTTGAATAATGCCCAAATTCCTGGCAATTAAAACATTTGACCTTATTAACGTTAGATTGATTTCGGTTTGATGACGAAAGCTTACTTCTATCTTTAACTTGAGTGTCTACTTTCGGTTTCGGATTTTTAAACTTATCATTGTCCGATCTCATTTTATCATAAATTTTAAGCCTTTGTTTAAATTCAGATATTGTTTCGCAACCATATAGTATAGTTTTCCTAACCACAGAATCGGGAATACCATCAATAACATATTTAATTAATGAAGCATCTTCAATGTTACCTCGCGAACACATTTCTTTCATTTTCAAAAAATACTCATCTAAAGATTCATTAGGCATTAATTTACGTTTACATAACATTTCATGCAACTCAGCAGAATTAAAAGCTTTACCATATTCAGATTTCAAAAGCTTTTTTAACTTACACCAGTCATTAACTTTAGGTTCACTCTGAATAAATAGTTTCGCTTTACCTTTTAATGATCTTTTAGCAAAAACTAATTTATGCAAATCACTCAATTTCAAAGAATTTATAACATCTTCAAATTCATCAATCCATTTATCAACATTTTCATATGCATTACCAGAAAAAGGATTAACAATACTTTCAATATCAGAAAAACTAAGATGAGGTTTAAAATGATCTTGAATTGGAAGCTGCATACTGTTATTTACTTGAGACTCATTAAAACCAGGATTGTCTCTTTGATTATCATCAAGCATTACTTCAGAAATTTTATTAATAGTTTCATCTTCAATATCACTATTTTCTTCATGCAAAATATTTTCAAATAATACAGATAAATCACATAGGAAAGAGACAATTCGGGTTACGACTTCCGTTTTTAAACCTTCTGAATTTATGCACAATACATTGCAAACTTTAATTAACTCATTCAAAGTAAAACTATTCTGCACTGTATCTATTTTCTTATTAAATTCTTCAGAATCTGGTTTAAATATAAAGCCAGAAAATTCACGTAATCTTTTCCGGTTATTTCGATCTCCATCAGTATTAAAAATAAGCTTATGCAAACTTTTGATTTCAGAACTTTTACTGTTCTTTAAAGCTGCTTCCAATTCTGGAATTTCTACTAACTTCATATTGGAAAGAAAGTTTTGTACTCACCCGACAGATGATCGTCGTCAATTGGGTAATCCACACTTTATACGAGTAATCCAATAAATCGAATAACTTGTGAGAACAGTTCACTCAGTTCACAGTTCAAACACAAAATACTTGCACACTTTCGGAAGTTCGAGGCCGCACGGTTGGTCGCCAAAGTTTGTAGGTAGCAGGAATATTGCATTTTTAAATGCTTTTATTTTACTAATAAGAAATAATAAAAGTAATAAAATTAAGTAAAATAATGTTATTCATGTAATGATGAACAATCACACATATTAGTTCCTCCGGCGTTGATAGAATATATTCTTAAATCCACAGCTAGCTTTTAAATAGTATGATCAGCTAAAGGCACTTAAACACCAAAGAAGACCGTCTGTCTTCTTCAACTCTTGAAGACAAGCGTCTGCTACGCTCCACTCTCGTCCACGTCTGGACGCTATCTCCTGTTGGTCTCGTCTGCTCCGCACTGAGCTATGCTGGGTTGATGTCACCATGCTGGTAATTCGCTAAGTCAGCATCGGTCGTCGATGATCTCCAGATATATATATATATATATATATATATATAGATGGTATATAGCAGAGGTGGCCATAGCATAGCTCTTGCAGGCTAGTGGTGCAGCTTATGCAAATCAAATACATGCATACAGTATGTAAACTAAAACTACTCTGCCCAAAAGAGAATAGTTAATTTCTTTCATTTCTTTTTACAAAGTTACTAGTAAAGTTAAACTGATTAGTGTCTGAACATAATTATTTTATTTCTCTTCTTGTTAGTTAAGAAACTTAATATGTTATTCGAAAACTTTATGAGTAAATAAATAAAAATATTGTACTGTTTATATTAGGCAATTTTGTATTAAAAAAATCCTTTTAAAATTAGATTTACTTGTTGATGCTTTAAAAATAGATGGATAGGCACTTGTAGATGGTTTAGAGGAAAGGTCTGCTGAATTTCTGAATCATTAGTGGAGGTAGGAACTAAATTGATGTGATCTTTGAGCAGAACAGTAAACACATGTAATGTATCAGAAGCATTTAATATCGTATGTAATTAAATGCATTTAATATCGTATGTAATTAAATGCTTCTGATACCAGTTACCAGTTAAAACAACATTAAGTTGTTTTTACATTCAAAATGTTGAGAAATTTATGGAAATTAGAAGCTTTAGGAGTTTCTAATAAATCTGATGACAGTTGCAGCTTTCAAGACAATGCTGCATTTCCATAATATTTGAGGACAACAGCTTGCTGGCTGTAGAATGAGTATGCAAGGGAATTAATGGATAATTTTGAGGTATCAGAAAAATTATTTGAGTTACTGTGGTGCAAATTTAAGAAGAATCTGAAATTTCATGAGCATTGCAAAGCTCTGATAGATCATCATTTACAAGAAGGTATAGCAGAAAAATCAAAGTATTTAAAAAAAAGTGTACTTTTTACCACATTAAGCTGTAATTAGAAAAAACGAAAACACCACAGAACTCGTATTATCTTTGACACATCATCAAATATTGAAGGCAAACTGCCATTGAATGATTATTCAGGCATTTCTTTCCATCTGAAACCTGTTTCGCTGCTTTTGAAATGATACAAATGAGGACTTATGCATTATAAAAAAATCTTGTTGCAGTTGTCAAATGTTCCTGAATTCTAACATGTGACTCATTGACATGAGATTTGGTCATCTCTGGTACATAGTATAGGTCACAAAACTTACAACTGGCTCATTTCCTTTAATGAACGATATCTAATTACGAGAAGTCAGTATTATTACTAATATCATATCTATCTGCCAATTTTTATGATTTTTTTAAATATGGAAACTGTCATAGCTTTATAATCTTATGTGCAAAATTAATTTTTTGTCACAAATATCATAATTGTTTGAAGTTGCCAACATTGTGTCAGATTTATCATCAAATTGGTTAGATTTGGTGAGAAGAATTGGTATATTTTAAGGAGCAGACATTCTGGTTTCCATATGAATTTGTACTCATTAGTATGTCAAAAACTAGTTCCTACCATTCTCAGATATGAGTTCTTTGGTTTTCCATTGCCAAATTTGTCGGCTTGTCTACATTTTAGGAGTTTTGAAGACCAATTTGGGTTCAAATATTTTGATTTTATAATATGTAAATTTCATGACAATTTTTTTTAGCAAATATAAAAACATTTTTATGATATCATTCAAGGTGATAATGTATTATTTTTTTTAGAAAAATAATATTAAAAATGAAGCAGTTTTATCTCTCCCTGTCATGTTTTTAAATATCTCTATCTTTTATTTTGCTGATTTCTAAATATTTATCAGAAATTTAAACAAGACAAACTTTATAAAGCACAGTTTCCCATCTATCTTTTAGCAAAAGCAAAAATCCAGTTGTAAGTATATTAAAATTATATTCAATTGTGTAATTTTTTTCATGATTTACAATGTTTTTCTCCATGTAATTGTTTTTAAGTATTTAGATACACATCAGTTTTCCCTGTTAAAATCACTTCATGCTTTTTAAAATTTTATTAAAAAGTCTTCTTATTTTCATGAAGTATGTTCATACTTTCTGTCACTAAAATTCCTTTTCATCAAATGAAGTCCTTTTTGTAAGGAAGGTTTTTGGGTTTGAAGTATTTTGAAAGGAGAATTCTTAAATTGTATTTTGTTTTATCTTATTATATGACTGTAAGTAAATATGGTAAAAATTTCATTGTGAAATTTGTTTTCCCGTAGACTCTTGTGATTCCAAAGTTGTTAGGCAATGATCATGTGCTAGTTGCAGCTGAAACAGGCTCTGGGAAAACTGTTGCATATTTAGCACCAATTCTTCATCATATATTACGTAAAAAAGAGAAAATGCAGTTACATAAAAGTACACCTTTAGGCCTTATCATTACACCTGGAAGGGAATTAGCGGAGCAAGTTGCTGTAAGTGTGATTGAATTTATGTATATATCCTTGTTAAATCTTTATTAAACCATGTAATATCAAAGCTTAAATCTTCAGACTACTGTTTTTATTAAATATTCATTTGTGTTTTCATAATTTAAAATATCATATACAGCTAAACTTTAATTATTCAGAATTTAGACACTTCAAACTGCAGTTAACTAGGTAGCTTGTTCTTCGTTCTAAGCCGAAGGTGTCCAGCCTTTTAGCATCCTTGAATCACAATGGAAGAAGAGGATATATTTTTAGCCATTATTGTTATTATTATTTCTAATACCAGACCGTGACCTCCAAATAAGTAAAACACACAATTGCATAGGGTTCATTGAAAATTCTTGGATTTGCTCAGTTTAATAGAAACTTTTGAATTTCATCTGTAGGAACGAAATGTGCAGGTTTGACTATGTTAGTTCAAATTTGCTCAGTTTGTTACATATATAAGAAAGTGCATATGTAGAAAAATTTTAAGTGAATCGGTAATTCACATAATTCATATGGTGAGCATCCACTGCCTAACACTAACAATGGCTGATGAGCCAAAAAAAAGTAAAAATATATTTAAGCAATTTAAACTTTATTAATTTATGATTTTGTAATAGAATGACAGCAATGTAGAATTATTTTGACATTGCATTTGACTTTTTGTATATAACATGTCATTATAAATTTTATTTATAATTATATAGATAACAAGAAATCATAAAGTTAATGTGATATTTGGCCATGAATTTGAGAAACTATTGCATTAGTGTCTGGTTCAATTGAAGTGGTTTCAGTCAGAGAGTTCTCAAAATAATCATTTGATATTTTGGTTCTAACTTTTCTATTCTGGTACTCTTAGTGTGCTTCACTTTTGAAGATAGTTGATCACAAATATATGTATGTGCTGCCAAATAATACATGACTATGCATCAAGGTATATTTGTTTTTGGATAGGTATGATTTATTTAAGACCAACAAAAAAGCATGATCAAATTTTTCCTTAAGTTGAATTACAACTTTTAAGTCATATTAAGTAACTCTTAAGTCTTCCTTAAGTCGTATTGCAACTCTGCATTCTATTTGAAAATTTGCTGACAGCATATCTATATCCACTGTAAATAGAGTCGGAAAAATACAAACATTTTTTATTATATTTAAGAAAATCCTTAAATCTGTTCAAGTTCTTGTATCAAATCCAAAAGTAAGGCTGCATAATTTTCCCATTTTTAGGATTATGTTTCCCCTACATGCTGAAACATAAATACTCTTTTTTATTTATTTGGACTTGACACAATGTCAATTTCATTTGGAACACATTTATGGTTTGAAATATTGTACTAAGTTGGTTTTACCTTGAACATATATGTTTAACTAAGCGGTCAAATCTACTATAAATGCTAAATCTGCAAGCTAGTCAAGTTCTTGGCATAGAATTTGCTTTCAGTATTGTAAAGGATTTGATTTCATTAAGTATGTTATAAAATCTTTTTAAGATTTGGCCTTGGCCGAGCCACCTTATTTCTGTAAAATATGCAATATCATCATATTTGGCTGCTATACTTTTAAAAAATTCTTGGAATTGGGGAGCGCCTTGTAAAATTCTTAAAAATTAAAGTCTTGATAATGATTTTCATAACATGATCTGTTTTTAAAACTGTTGCACATAAACTGTGGACAAACTATAATGGAAGTAACGAAATGTGGGACTAGATATGTTCCAAAGAGAATGAAAGATATTTAAAAATAAATTATTTTCAAAAATGTTTAAACCCAATTTTGCAAGATTTTTACACCTTTCTGTGTTTTTAATATTAGAGCAAAAATGGCGTACATAAAAGTACTAGCTATTAAAATATTAATTTTAATTAAAAGACTGCATATTAAAATTAATAAATTAATTTTAACTGCAAGCTGTTGTATCTGTGAAGACACTGCTAATCATAATTCATGGCATTAGTTTGCATTCATATGCAGAAAGCCAGTAATAGTAATCCTAATATATATCCAAGTTTCTATTGATGACAAAATTTCAGTTGTAATTTCGGATGTTCATTCAAGGATCAATTTCATGATATGTAACCATAATATTATCTCAGGGATACTAATAGAAAGTACAACTGGAATATAAAATATGTCCTACCTTTGATTTGTAGAACCTTAGAACAATAAAAATCAAAACAAAGATTTAAAAAAATTAAAATCACAAATCAAACAATTTTATTCACTATGGTTTTGGTTTTATTAGATTATGGCAAAGCACTCGAGGGCTATCTGCCTTAAGGGAGGGATGCCTTCGTGGAGGACTTTCTAAGGGAAACTGGCTCGTATACACGTTACACATGGGGAAAACCACAAAAACGCCCATGCAGCCAGCCCGTTCGCGGGATTCGAACCTCGGACCGAACTACCAGTGTTCAGCGACATTACCACTCGGCCGCTGGTGGGCCTTTATTCACTATGACATCCATATGAACACTATATTGAAACTCCAAACTGAATTTTCACATACATTTTCGCTTTGCATGTCATAAATGGTGTAACAAAGTTAAGGAAATACTTGTGCACACAGCTTAATGTAGGGTTTGAGAACACCACATCACCTTAAACACAGTTCAAAGCATTTGAAAATATAACATCGCTGTTATCCATTGCAGCTTGAAGATGAGAAAATGGTTAAAATGCTAATCCTGATATCCTCACCTTGATGATGTATACAAACACAAGCAGAAACATAGCAGTTTAAGAATACCACATCACCTTAAACACAACTTAAAGCATTTGAAAATATAACATCACTGTTATCCATTGCAGCTTGAAGATGAAAAATGCTGAAAACACTAATCTTGATATCCTCACTTGATGATGCATATAAATACAAGCAGTATATCAAAATGATGAAAATAATTACACTGCATACAAGTCAAAAGAAGATTTGGAACTGCCATTTCACTCAAAACACATTTTATTGCACTCAACTCAGAGCATCAGATAACTTGCCCAACAATGTAGAAAGTCTGCATTGAACCCCAATCGCAGCAGTAAGATGTAACATTGGCGGGGGGAAGATTTTGATGCTTCTTTTGCACTTCACAGTTGCTTTTTGGGCTGCATCTGGGGCATGGGTTGGACAGCCCTGATCTGTGCCAAGTACTATCAAGTTCTTATTAATTTCATCTTCAACTATACAATGATGACACTGCTGTGAGTAGGTAGAAAGAATGAATATTGCACAAAAACAGTGATGATTAAAAAAGAAGTTTTGAAGCAAGGAAAGCTTATGCTGTGACAAAAAAAGATTATGAGTAGAAGCTGCTTCTAAGATTTTTGCACTCTTTTTCTAATAGCTATTTGATAATTTACTACCGGTGTGATGCTAAAATTCTGTGAACCTCAGTTAAGATCTGTATTGTTGCAACTGTTGACTGGAATAATTATGTGCAGGCTTACTTATGAATTTTTGCATTTATTTATTTATTATTATGGATTTAATAAAATAGCCATTCTTCTCATGAAGCGGAATATATCATTAAGGTTATCATTTCTGTTTCTAGTTAGATCTGATCCAAATGGCATCCCATAAACCAGAAAGTGCCATTTTATGACAATCCGTGTAATATAAAAACTGAAATCTTCGGATTCAAATTTTTATTACTTTTTTAGTGTTTTAACTTAAGTGCAGTTAAACTTAATTATTCAGACTGTAGATATTTGAGACTGTAGTTTTCCAAATAGCTTATTCTTCATTCTAGGTCCCCTAAAATTTTTAGTGATTTCTGTGCATATTTTAATTTTTTCTTCTTTAAGTATCATAAAAAGGTAACACAGCTGAATACATAATTTTAAGAATCTATTAAATTTATTTGCACAAGTGTGTATAATAAGTTGGTAGCTTGCAATGTTTTATATATTTATAGCATGTAAACATTATCAGAAATGCAGTTATGTACTGATTGTATGTTTACTGCCTTTTACTTATTTCATGAGTCATTTGTGTTACAATGTATAGCTTACCAAGTTACAGAAATTAAAAATAAAGTTACAGTAATTAGGCAAAGTAATTTTTATATGTGTCATATTTATACAATATAACTGCTTGTTATTTTTTGTTAGTTGTTTAATATATACAAATGAAAAATAATTACATTATTACAGCTAGAAATTTTATTGAAAAAGTGCTTTATTTTTACATTGCAGAAATAAAAGTATTTTTATCTGTAATATTTGTTAAAAACAGAATAATCTAAAAACATTCCCTCATTACATTGCAGTAATATGCATTAGGCCTACAGGAATAGGCAGTCCAATTATATACGTAATCAATTTAGTAAATATATATATATATATATATTTTATATTTAAACACTTATATATTTGGAATTCTGTTGCTATAAGAATAAGTTTTATAAGAAATTAATATAAAAATAACTTCATTATTTTAAGGATTGTTAAAAATTACTATCCTTATATTCATTTGAAGAAACTTTTCTCCCTTCAAATAATTTCATATTTTTCCCTCCCTAAAGGACATGGCTTATAAATTGGGTGAAGCATCTGGCATTGATGTGAAGGTGCTTGTTTCTGGTGGAACTATGGTAAATATAATTTTTGATGATAATTTCAGTAATTAAGCAGTATTTACATATCAAATAGTTTATATTTTAATGTGTAATATCTTAATTACCTAAGAGTTTGAATGATGATGTAATGTTAAAATGATAACAAAAATATAACAATCTAGATTCACATGTTAATTATATTGAAACTGCAGTAAAGTGGAGTTTTTGCAAATAACCTGGCTGCATTGTTAGTAAGCATTCGACTGTCTGACATTCACTGAGGTTATGTATATTTAAAGCATAAGTAAAAAATTAGTTTGATGAGTTATATGCATAGTTGTTTATCTTCATTTGGGGGTACATGATTGGCATACTACTTATTGCCACATTTGGACATTGCTAATGATATGCATCCTCATTATTTGTTAAGCTAGCTATACCACTCTGATGATTACCTCTGACACCAAACTCATTATTTCACCACATGTATATTTCCAACTGGAGAATAAGGTCAACTCTTCATAAACCAGGGTAATATCAGGGACTGTGTTCTCCGAAGACAGTTACCAAAACATAGAAAAGAGGAATAACATATTATAACTAGCAGACAAGTACTGTTAACAATTTGCCTGCATTTTTATGCTGTTAAATGTGCAGAATAATTAGTCCAAAGCGGCTTTGTCCCTGAAGGACTATTTTTTTTGTTTTGCGATTTTGCATTGAAAACATTAAAAGGCTGTATCACTTTTCAAATTGTTGCCACCAAATACTGTCGCCCTGTATTACATTTGAAGAAATAAAAAAATGAAGAATCTGCATAAATGTATGTATGTTTCTTGCATTGTGATAAAACAACGGTACCTAGAGCCACCCAGTTTTGATTGACGTAATCCTACTGCAAATATGGGCATCTGAAAGCCCAAATTTGAAATTTGGAATTTGTTTTATTATCGATTTCATATTTTATAAAACTTTAACGAATTTTCATTAACAAACTCAACAATTTAAAAGCGAGCAATGGCAACACTCTACGGAGGAAATAAACCTTTTTATCTCCAGCGTGTGGAACTGTGTATCGGAAATTCTAAAGATATCTTCATTTTAAAATTATTTTGTGACATTGCTGTTGAATTTTATGGTTTAAGTGCAAAGAATGTGATATTTTATAAATAAAGGTAACACATAAAATGTTAAAAAAATGCCTCTTTGGACGTAATTTAAAATCTGAAACCTTTCATATTTTTAATTATTTGATTTGTTTTCATAAATTAAATAAGTTTCAAACCAGAATGAACATGTTGTAAATAGTGAAGCAATAAACATCAGTCATTTAACATAGATGAAACCAGAATGTTCTGGAAAAGCATAAATTTATAAAAAAGCTACATTTGAAACCATTTAAATATAGGATTACACTTTTTCTTGGAGAAAATTATGCTGACTTTAAATTAAAACCCTTTTTTATTTAGTATTTCACTGATTTTTCCCAGACTTCTTAAAAAATACTCACATGAATTAAATTGTTGTATACTACAGGAGCAATTCCAAGAATTGGATGACAGTTGTGTTCAAGGAGTGGTTCTTAAATTGTTTTGTTCCAAATGTGTTTTTTTTTTTTTTTTCCCCAGAGATGCTACTGTCTTAAAAAAGCATTCCTTTCATAGTTCTATTCATATTTGATAATGCTGCAAGGCATCTTGTTTAAATAGGTGATTTAAATGAAAATATAAATAAAATAGGTATCTCTCACCCAATAGAAGAGCTGTGATTCAACCTATGGATCAAGATTCAATTGCTGCATTCAAATAATTTTATTTGATAACTACATTTTTCTAAGCAGTAAGAGCAATTGACAGTGACACTATAATATAACTACATGATTTTTGGAAAAAATTATGATATTGGTCAATGTGTCGAGAATATTGGAACTTCATGGAAAAAAGGTCTAAGAAAAATACATGTTAGGAATTTGGAAAAACTTGATGCCACGGGAAACATTGAAAGATTGCAATGAGCATCACATTATATGTTAGATAGATGAGAGAAATAACATTTTAACACTGGATCTAGGTATCAGATTGGAGAATGCAACACTGGATCTCGATATCAGAATGGAGGATGCAAGAGAATTAATGGATCACAAAGAAAGTTAACTGATTGATGATGATTTAATTTCCAGAATCAAATAATTGTAGAAAAAAGGAATAATGAGGATGATGAAAAGAAGAAATCATCATAACAATTTGCTGCAAGTGGATTGTCTGAAACATTTTCTAAATTAAATTAATAACTTCAGCTACTTGGAAGTATGGATCAAAACACATTGTTTCACCATATTCATTTTTTTGAGATGAAAAGCAAATTTAAATAGTTGGATATTCCTGCAAAATATATAAAGGGAGAGGAAAGAAAAGATAGCAATAATGAATGTTTTTATTAAAGAAGCTGCTTATTAAAGAAGCTATCAGTGCACTATTATTAATTGATTTTATGATTTACTCACCTAGGCTTTGTAACATATGAATAAAAGGAGCCTTTTTTAATTACAGTTTAATTAATTTTCATTCCCCAATGGAGGACAAAGATTTCATGGAGAAGGAGCTTTTCTATGATGATTTGCATATGTTGTGTTTTCTTCCTGTCCAGGGAATGATGTGAACATTTTGTATGATGCAAATGAAAAAATCAATAAAGAAGAGAAATTTAGACTTATTATCAGTAAATTTAATCTCCACAATTTTTCAAATGCCAGTGGCAAGCGACTTATTGATTTTGCTTCAGATTATAATATGAACATAACAAGCACAATGTTCCAACATAAAAAAGATACATAAAATGACGTGGAGCTCTCTTGAATGAGGCACTTTCAATTTACATAGGTAATTTTCTTACTGATTCAAGGCATATGTCAGCTATACTACATGTAAGAACATATTGTGGTGCCAATCTGGATTCTAATCATTTTTTGTCATGGCAAAAGTTAGAGTTTGAATTTAAAAAAAATACAAACAAGATTTCTACACTGCCTGTGAAGAAATAGAGAAATACGATTGCTCTTGCAAAGCACCTCTCTTATAAAAAATATATTCTGAAAAATTAAAAGAAGTAGCCCTAACAGTAACAGCTCTTTCTTCTACTCAAGTCAGTATGGAAAGACTCTTCTCAGCTCTGAAGTTATTAAATCGGATCTATGGTGCTCTAACAAAGAAAATCTTGCCGAAGCTGTGTTGTTTCATAGAAATTACTAATGCCAGTTTTTGCATTTCATAGTAAATATTAATTAATATAAATAATTTGCTATGCCATCAGTTTTTTCCTTGTAGCATCTATTACTTTTTTGTATTAAAAAATAAGCTGTAACCTATGTATATATGTTTACATATATATGAGGGAGTCCAGAGTCTAAAATTCCAGCAGTCGGTCATTTTCCCTACCGCTTCCACAGCCCTGCTTATCACTAGTTTAGGGCTACCTGTATTAAACCGATATGTGTGTTTATTTATGCACATAGCTTCTTTGAAAATTAGTTATTTTGTAGATATCAGGTCCTTGTGTGAAAATTGTTTACGACTTTTAATTACTTATTACCGCTGGCTTAAATCTAGTTATCTTTCATATAGGATTCTGAAAAACCTATTTGAAGTAGTCTGCCCTAGATTAATTCTATATTAAGGAATTTATTCCCTCTTATTAGACTGTTTCATGTATGTAAAATTAGTTAGTTTCCATTTTAATTGTGTATTTTGTGTTATACTTGCATTAAATGAATGAATTTTAAAATATAATAGAATTCTTATAAATCCGTGAGTACTTAATCTTGAATTACCTGTATTCCATGCTTTATGATCATGGAATACGGATATAAGCATGCATAGTTTTGAATTTAGAAAGTTTAGCATAGTAAATTTAATGGTAATTTTTTATAATGTAAATATATTTCTTCACAAAGTACACTATATTTGTAAAACTTAAGTGCATTTAATATATGCAGTAAATCCTCATTATCATGAATGTCAAGGGACCAAAAAATCAAGAGCTCAGGTTAAAAAAATTCATGTTAATTGGGGACTTAGATTGTGATTAATACAATTTCACATGCATGGAACATAATGGCTGAATTAGCATTTTTTGAAAAACTGCATTTAAGTTTTTGTAAATAGTATATTTTTATTAATTCATGTATTTTCTTATTTAAAAGCATAAAAGTTACTTTGAGAGGATTTTTTTCTGATTGATATGCTGCTTTTTCACATGAAATATTTTGTTGTAGTTTTACAAAGAGTTCTTAACATGTTGAAAAAAAAAATATCCTTCTCAGTTAGCCCTTTTTTCCCCCTCACTACATTTCCTCCTTGTACTGGCATTATTTTCTTTAAATATAAATACATTAAAAAAATATAAATTTGTATTTAACTAATCTTGATTAAATAATTCTTAAGAAGTAAGTAACTTTTGGTTAGCTATTTATGTGCAAATTATCCAAATTTAATGTAAAAGGCAAAAATGTAAACACTACTCAGAAAAACACTACTTGTAATCCACAAAATTTTTTATTCTGCACAATCTTTTGTCATTAGATGTGTGGATTATCTGAATTCCTTAATATTAAGACAATCTGCTTATTTAAAACTAGTTAAAATGTCTTAACTTGATAATAGCTTTTTTTTTTTTTTTTTTTTTTTTTTTTGTATATTATAAATATGTAATTTTTATAGTAGAACAATTATGTTTTTTGTTGCTTTGTTATGAATGTGTGCCTTACAAGCTTGTAATATATAACTTTCGTGAACTAACTATTATGTTTGTTTTTTCTTCTCAAGCATTCACATTTAAAACCTTCTGGATACATAAATATTGATCTTCTAGTGGCATCTGTTGGAACACTTGGAAATCTTGTCAAAGGGGGTTAGTTTATTTCTTTTACTTTTATTTTTTATTAGAAGATTGAGTTTAATAGTTCATACCTATTTGTTATTTCATGTTTTAAACTTGATATGTAATTATAATCTTACTTTGTTAATTTATCAATTAACCCCTTAACTGTCGCGGAAAACGTACAAGATTCATTTCCCAGTGCCACAGTTTTTCACGCAGGTGCGCATAGTTATGTGATGTATTAGGGAGAAAATAAATGCAAGTTTTACTTTTTAAAAACTGTTTACTTTCACAAAATAAAGAATAAAAGAAAAAAATGAATGCACAAAATTTAATGTTTTGAGTAAAAGTATATTAGAAAGATGTAAGTATAATAAAAATGATGTTTTTATAATAAAAAAGATTTTTAAAATGGAGTTTCGATCAATTAATTTTTAGACCAGTAAAGTGTAATACCAGGTTTCAGTGTTATACCTTGTAAAATCGGTATGCCTAAAAAAACATATATTTCTTCTGAAGTGGTTGAATGCCATGATTTTGTTCTTAATTTTTTGTTTGCAAGGTGTTGGTTCATGTGCTCGTCTACAAAATGGTTAGTTTCAGTAACAGTATGAAGCACGAGCAGTTCATCAAAAAATAATTCAAAAAGATAAATGTGTTTGAAACATCCATTATATCTTTCTTTATTCCTGGAACCTGCTACAAAAATCGCATACATTGTCAAGGTCATTGTGGTATTGCATTCCAAAACTTTGCGAATAATTTTACGGGTAGCAGCGCAAAGCTAATGATAGTATTTTGGAAGGGCATATATATATACGCCTGTAGCAGTTAACGCATCGGCTGAGCAAGGCGTATATATACGCCCACGGCAGTTAAGGGGTTAAAGGAGAGTTTTACTTTAAAAGATAAAATAAAGGTTTTTTAACCATCATTTATTTAAGTTACTCATTTAAAAGTGAATAAAGTAGATTCTCTTAATTAAAGACAGTTTACTCCAATTCACAATAAATCCAACAGCAGTTTAAAAACATAGTAATAAAAAGTAACCATATGTTAATTAACAGATTTTAATTTTTAATTAGATGATTTTAATTAACAGACTATTAATGTATTTTTAAAGTTTTAATAGCATTAGTAGTAATAGCTTTTGATAACAGTTAATAGCAGTTTAAGCAGTAAGTTAATTTGGAGAATAATTTCATGTGGTTTCATAAATTCAGTCAGTATTCAGAACAAGAACAGACTATTTCAGTAGGAGGCTGTGGGAAGTAGACGATTAATGATTGTAAATTTAATTTATTTTTAACCAGATGATTTAACATTTATACACTCTTTTGCAAAAAAATCGAAGCACCATGAAGAAATTCAAAGCAAAAAATTCGAAGCACCACCATTGTTCTTGATGAAATTGAATATGTGTATAGTTTAGACACAGATAATAAAATGATTAAAAAATCAAGGTCGTAATACCTGGTCATGGCTCACAATTACCCATTGAGTGTTCAAATTAGTAGTTGGTCAAACCGCCCCTGGCGGCAATTCATGCTTGAAATCGTGGCGGCAAGGAGTGGTAAAAATTCCTAATGTCATCCTGCGACACAGGCTGTCAGGCATTCATCAGTTGTCGCTCTAGATCTGCGATATTTTGTGGTGCCTGAATCTGGCGGCCTACTATGTCCCAGACAGGCTCGATTGGTGAAAGGTCTGGTGACTTTGCTGGCCAAGGAAGAGTATTGTAATATCTTGTTATTTAATAAATAACTATATTTATTGTTGAAGTGGCAACACCATATTTGTATTATGTTACCGTTGCTCAGCAATGTGAGAAATTGTTTTAAAATTAGAATTCTGAAGTTTTTACCAGCTAGTAGTAGTATGAAAGTTTTGCCACTAAATAATTTCTTCAAATTATATATCTCCTGTGAACTAGAAATAAAATTTATGTTCTAATAAGAAGATTGCCTGTTGTGTCAATTACTGTAAAATTACATTACAGTCCTAATTGGACGTTCCACCGAGATACTGGAAATTAGGAGTGCAATTATCAATTTTGATGGTGCTGGTCTCCTAATCCCAGAAATTTGCTGAATTTTTTAGAACAAGCTTGCTAATACCAATTGCCGAATTTGTTTATTTCAAGGAGAAATAGATGTAAGAAATCTGCCATTTAAAAGCCAGATTTTGAAGCGGATCATTCAAAGGTTATCTTCTGTGGTTCTATAATTTGCGTTCGAGCAAAAAATTGTCAAAAACAGGATACTGCTGATCTCCGAAGATAAGATTAACTTTTGGTTTTCATAAAAAAAGTATTTATTGAATTTTAGTATTTCATTTCAGAATTATATTTAAATAGTAAAAGTTTCTGTGTAAAATAACTAATACTAAAAATATTAGGAGTAATTTATAATTGATATTTGTGGTAGAAAAGTATTTTAAATTATTATTTAGCCTTTACTGTTATTTGTATTGAATTTTTTGTTGATAATTGATATATGTATGCCATCCCGGCATTTATATAAAAAAAAAAAGAACTGCTAGCTGAGTTTTTGAATTTGTTGCCAAGCAGGCGCATGGAAAAAAGTAGTAACATAAAACTGACGTAGTGTGATTTGATTATACTGCAGACTTAAAAAAAGATTTTTCTTAGTTCTCGCCATCCAGGCGTGTGGTAGATAGTAACGTCATACCGACATATTACAGATTGTATATTGTAAAAAACTGTATTGCCAAACTGGCAAAAAATGTTTTTCTAATCGCCAACCAGGCATGGAGATAGATAGTAAAATCGTCAAACTGACGTCGGTAAAATTCCATTGTATTGCCTAACTGGCAAAGGTGTTTATATACTAGTTATAGCTAACAAGACTTATGAATAGTGAGTTCAAACGTCAACCCAATGTAGTATTATATTATTTTGTGCCAACCTGGCAAAGTTGTTTAAATAATTCTCTCCAATTGGTTAGTGTGAATTTCATATTTCAGAAATTAAGTCTCGCCAGAAATTATACATTTTTAATACAAGTACAATCTTTAGATTCAATTTCAAAACGAAACTTGTTAAAGGTAACTTGTGTCAACATGTCATTCTTAGCTCGGAGTAAAAAACAAGATTTAAAAGTACTGGCAGAAGAGTTAGGTTTAACCGTGAAACCTGAATTTAAGATTGCTCGGTTGCATAAATTGATTACTGAAAGTCCCGGTTATGATGAGGAGTTTACTCGAGAACTACTGGCCCAATTAGAGAAGAAAGAGAAAGAAAGGAAGAATGCGAAAGAGAGGAAAGGGATAAATAACACAAAAGAGAAGAAAGAAAAAGGAGAGAAGAACGCGAAAGAGAAGAAGAGAAAGGAGAGAAGAATGCAAAACGGGAGAAAGAGAAAAAGAACGTGAAAGAGAAGAAAGAGAAAGAAAAGAAGAATGTGAAAGAGAAAGAAGGGAAGAACGTGAAAGAGAAGAAAGAGAATGCGAAAGAGAAGAAAAAGAATGCGAAACAGAAGAGCGAATTAGAGCTTTTGAGCTACAGAAACTTCAGTTGGAAGCAATGGCTGCAACAGCACAGCCGGTAGAAACTACGCAGTTACTTGAACAGCCTTTAAAAATCAGAATTCACGATGTCATTCCACGTTTCAACCCTAAAGAAGATGGAATAAGTTTATTTCTGGTGTCATTTGAGCGTCAAGCTAAAATTATGAATATACCTGCTGAAAATCAAGTGACTCAACTTATTTCATTGCTGCCTCCTGATATTGTTCGGCTTATTGCTAGAGAACCAGAAGAGGACGCGAAAAAGTATGAATATGTAAAAACTTTACTGTTACAATGATTTAAATTGAGTGTGGAAAAATTTTGACGATTATTTAATAAACACCAAAAATATACTGAAAGTACTTGGTATGATTTCTACTATGAATTAAATGATTATTTAGAAGGATGGCTTAACGGATTAAACATTAAAACTTTTGAACAGCTAAAATATCTCATGCTGATTGATCAAATTAAAAAGCGTACTTCTCCTGATTTCAAAGAACATTTTATGGATCAATGGACAACCATAATTTCACCCACTGAGATGGTTAAGAAAATTGAAGACTTTGAAGATGTGAGAAAAACAATAAAACCAAAATTTTCTGCCAATCAGAGAGAAAATTAACAAAAGATCATTTAAACCACGCTACGAATAACTTTGTGAAAAAAAAAGAGTATCCGCCTCACTTTAAGCATTCTGATAAATGGGATGACTCAAAATACCAGAAAGATCACCGAACAAAGAAGTCAAGACCAAAACAAGAACCCAGAAAATTTATATGACAAAAGATATCGACCCGCGTTGTTTCGAGTGTGGATCATACGAACATTTTAAGCCTCAATGCCCTCGCTTAAAACCAAATGAAAAGGTAAATTGCGTATTTTCGAATGATGATTTGTTAGAGACATATACAATTAACGATTTAGCTAACGGGTATGAAATGCCTATTCTTCGAGATACAGGAGTCTTCGAGACACAGGAGTCACTGTTGATGTTGTTTCTCGAAAATACATAGATAACGCAAAAAATGACTGGAAGAACATGTCTGGGTACAATATCCTTTTAAATGACCATTTAGTATGTCTACCGTTAGCTGAAGTTGAAATTAATTGTAAACTTGGTCATATAAAGACAAAAGCAGCTGTTGTTACAAATGGTCCTGACAGATATGTATTGGGTAACAAAACTGCTCAGTTGTTCAAAGATAAACAGTTCTTAAATTTAGAAAGGATAAATGCGGTTTTGACATGATCTCAAGTAAAGAGATATCATGAAGAAGATCGAAGCAGAGAAACCGAAATGGAGAAACTAGAACTGACGTTTAATATTGAGACTGAAGAAGATATTTTACCGCAAGCTGATGAGGAAGGCAAGGAAATTAAGAAAGTTATTAATGTTAATTCTATGGAATTAATTGAATCTCAGCATCAAAGCAGAGATCTAGCCTCATTGCTTAGCGAAGCTAAAAATGAAAATTCCACCAAGATTTCAAAGTAAAGGAGAACGAGTTGTTGATGAAAAAGAAATTAGATAAAAATGGAAATGAAAGGGAATTAATTATTATTCCTGAAAGATATAGGAATCAAATGCAGAACTATTCATCTTTGATGCAGAACCAAACAAATAATAGTGCTAAAACTCAGAGTAATTTGGTTAATACTCACCCACCTAAAGAAGCTTCTGTCAATGATTCACAAAAGTCTGATAAACAATCTAAACGTTCATCTGATGAGAAAACTGAAGTTATTGATATGGAAGTTGGCTCACTTTATTTACCTGCTGATTCATCTTCTCTAGATAGTGTGTGTGATTATTCCTCTACAAGTTCCCCAGTTCGTTCTTCTCCAAAAGGAAGAAGATGTGTTTGACAGTTTGTTAACAGCAGTTAAAAGAGCTTCTGATAAAAGAACTCATGAAGGTGCTTCTAAAGTTAAGAAATTAAAAATAAGTTCAGAATTTATGCACGTGTCAGAAAACTTAGCAAAGAGGCACAAACATGATAAAGGATTATCAAAGTTGCCACATTCAATGAGAATGCAAGTAGCAAATAAGAATCAAAGTTCATCTCGCAAAGAGCAAAAACTATCTGACAAGAAAGAACTGACAAAATTAAACGATTCTCAGTTAAAAGTTCTAGATGAATTGCCAAGTTCTGGAATTGATATGCAAGTCAAGGAGACGTTTTCAAACAGACAAGAGCAAATTGTTGAAGAAATAAAACTGCCGGAAAATCCTCTGTTATACTCACCTGATTTCAATAAGGAGTTTGTTTTGCAAACTAATGCTTCAAACTCTAGTGTGGGTGTCATTTTAGCTCAAAAAGATGAATGAGACACTGCACATCCAGTATTATACCTCAGTAAGAAGTTTACAGAAACTGAAAAAAAGTACTCTACCACAGAAAAGGAATGCGCTGCCATAATATTTGCCGTAAAGAAACTTCAATGTTATTTAGATGGGCATTCCTCATCATGACTGATCATAATCCCTTAGTTTGGCTCAAAAATCCCTTAGTTTGGCTCAAAATGTATAAATAATCCCTTAGTTTGGCTCAAAATGTGAGTAAAACCACGACTTATGAGATGGGCACTAGTACTACAACCCTACAATTACGCGGTCATTCAGTCGAAGTGGTAAAAACCATAAAAATGTAGACACATTAAGTCGTACTCCCTGGCCTGATTAAATAATTTGTTTCTCTATATAGATAAAAAACAGTATTTTGTTCCTTCTTCTCTTCCTCAGTGTATGTTATTATGGTATTTCTTGTTTAATTCTTCTCTAAATTCTTGTATTTCAATTCTGTATTATGCTAATATTGTTTTTAAAAAAAAAAAAAAAAAAAACGTAAGGGGAGAGGGGACGTAACTGGAGGGGGGAGAGGTTGTAATATCTTGTTATTTAATAAATAACTATATTTATTGTTGAAATGGCAACACCATATTTGTATTATATTACCATTGCTCAGCAATGTGAGAAATTGTTTTAAAATTAGAATTCTGACATTTTTACCAGCTAGTAGTAGTATGAAAGTTTTGCTACTAAATAATTTCTTTAAATTATCTATCACCGTGAACTAGAAATAAAATTTATGTTCTACTAAGAAGATTGCCTGTTTTGTCAATTACTGCAAAATACATTGCAGTATCAACCGCACGGAGACATTCCAGAGATATGCGAGTGGTATGTGGCCTGGCATTATCTTGTTGGAAGATGGCCACAGGATGACGTGCTATGAAGGGTAAAGCAACCAGCCGCAGGATGGTATCAACAAATGATTGAGCTGTTAAAGGTGTATGGAGGATGACTAAAGATGACTTGCTGTCATAATAGTGCCCTACACCATCACACCAGCACACATTTGCTGTATGTCTTTGTAAAACAAAGACTGATTGGGACCACTGGCCCCATCCTCTCCAGACACGAACACAGTGGTCATCTGCTTCAAGAGTGAAGCGGGTTCATCCCTGGATACTATATGATGCCAGTCTGATGGCAGCCATGATGATCAGCTGCAACACATTCCAGACGACACCGCCGATGTTGTGAGGTCAAAGACAAATGTCTTAAAGGCCTCTGTGAACGTAACCCCACCTCAGGCAAGCACCATGAGATGGAGGGCAGTACCACAGGAGGTATAGATGTGGTTGTAATGCAATGAATAGTCGACAATGATACCGTTGGGGTGGTTCGGGCCTGGCAAACAATCATCCTATTTTGTCTCACATTTGTGCTCTTTGTCCTTCCAGAGCCTTCACTGCATCGTCGATTTCCTTGTAGCAACCATTGCTGCCACATCTTTGCACAGCAGTGTCTGTACGCTGCAGGTAGCAGCCTATTGCTTGGTATGACCACCCAGCTTCACACAACCTAACAATGCCACCACGTTTGAAGTCATTTAGTTGTCTGTAAGGTCTTTGATATCGTTGCAATGGTATCTTTATTGATCATTTGCATGTTTGATCAAGACGTTTTTGCTTACCAAATTTCATCACGTTCACAAAAGTCCTTCTTGGTGGTTCGATTTTTTTTGCAAAAGAGTGTATATTCCAGATTATTTACAATAATTTTATGTACTTTTGTGAATGAAAAGAGTTCATAAATACTAAGTCATCATATGCTGTGACTTCTATTATCCCATGCGTTTTATTCTCCTTTTTGTAACCCAAAGTAGAAATTTTACTTTATTCCAATGATTTATGATTGTAATTTTTTGTTTTTTCTGTGCTAAACAAAATTAGCATTTTTTTAAAAATAAAGCCAAGTTAATTGGGAGTTGACTATAGCATAGAATTAAGTAAGTATTTAAAATGGCTGAATCTTGTAGAATTATATGAGCATATCATCTGAATATCTGAGATATAGTGCAGTCATTGAGTTCATTGAAAAGTATTTTGTGATTTATTTTGTTACTATGTATGATCTTAACTATTTTTCTGGCAATGTGCTTTTACTAATAGTGGCATAAAATTATGTTATTATTTTAGGTGTGTATAAGCTTACAAACCTGCAGTATGTAGTTCTTGATGAAGCAGACACTTTGTTGGATGACAGTTTTGTTGAAGATACTAAAAACATCCTGAAAAGATTACCGGTACTATTTTTAATTTGTAATTTGTTATTAATCTTGATTAATGGCATATCAAAGGATTTTGGAAAATTTTTTCATAATTATAATTTAAAATGCAAATAGAAAATGAGTTAACATCTGTAAAAACTCTAGAAATGTGGGGGAAGAATCCAATGCACTGTACTATAATTTACATTATAATTAATGTCAAAGTAGCTTATTTTTAGTAGCAGGAAAAAATATTTTCTTTTTTAAATTTTAAAACTCAGCAATAATGCTGAATATCCATGAAGGGTAATGAAGATACTTGCAGCTCATTGAAAATTTGTATATTACTGTAGCAAATGTTTAACTTGACCTCTTCAAGGTGTATAACACATTTCAAATAAACAATAATATTCTTGAGTGCAGGTATAAGTATAAGCAGGTAAGATACCAGAATTTCACCATAGATTGTGCAGGTATTGTCCCATAGTACTAACTGTGCAGTCCTGCCCCAGTTTTCACGAAGACCATCCTGTGGGGCAGTCCGAGGTTCTCTTACCCATCTTGCTCTTGTTATTGTTCATGCTATATTTATTTTTTGTGTTATTTTTCAAAACTATGTTTAAAGACTCAAATGTATATTATATGAGTTGAATAAATTAGAATTCCTATGTGGAAACTAAAATAAAGCACATGCCAAAATATTAAGGCTATTTTGCTGAAGATATCAGTTTTGTGCTTTGGTGGTTTTGGCATTGTGCCAACAAAATACAGGTTACAATTTTGAAAACATACAGTATAATCCTTACTTAATTACAAGGTAGCTCTTTGCATTACTTCTTTATATCTGGTAAATCCCCCCTCCCTGAAATAAGTAAATCCTTGATAACAAAATGTTTTGCATAATTACTAGTGTTAATCACAGGTTATGAAAATTGTACTAAATTTACATAGTAAATGAACTGACTACTTTGTATGATGTTGTTGAATACCGCTTTTCCGCGGCACCAAAACAAGTTAAATGAAACAAATATCTATCATGTAATGAATTAAGAATTGTGTTGAGTAAATCAAATTTCAAATAACTATCCAAACAACCTAATTGATAACTGGCAGAAATCATGTATAAGCAGACAAGGCAATAAAAACATACTAAATTTATCCAATGTAAAATTTGAATTTTATTATACTGTTAGTGTTCAATTAAACAATTAGAATATTTGTTAGAAGCTCCTGGGAGAGATAAAACAACTATTGCACATATTCACAGATTAAACCTAGACTATTTCTTTCCATAAAAAATACCATAACTTAATTTTTTTTTCATTCCTAACATAATACCTTGAGATCAATCAGACATGATAATACTAACAAGAAGCCATAAGTAACCCTTTACTGGAGATTTAACAAATTAGAAATATATATTTTAACACATTAATATAAATTCATATTGAACTGCACCTTAACATTTTAATGCAAAGTTGAAAGTATTAACAACACAGTTTACTTATACCATTTTTTCCACAGGAAAATTAACACATTTATGGTTATTATTAACGTACTTAAATTTTCAGTGAATGGAGGCAAATTTCTATTAACAAAGTATTGTACACAATTATCAATATAACAATTTCTGTTATTTTCTAATGAATAACAACAAGAAGAAATTTTAACTAATATGTTAAAGCCTGAATTCTTCCATTAAAGCACTTAACTAGGATTCACCTTGAATTAATAAAAGAACTACTGTTCCACTAAAGCTAGATTATAGATTACTACCGGTGAAATACGTTTCTAAGCGAAGCCATTCTACATGCTAATCAGAATATTTACTCTTAGGAGGAAATTGATTTACATTTTTCAAGTAGCTTACCAAATAACATAATGTAATACAAGGAAAAAAAGTTATCTAGTTCTCTTCTGAAGACAATGGACATGACACTCCCACATACAAATGTCAGCCGGATCAGATGACGGGCAACAAACACCGCAGATCACCGAGATCAAAGCAGGAATATGAGGCAAAATTTCCAGATGGAGTTGAACCGACTCAGCTTTCATTCCACAATCCAAGTCCACAATCACTGGAGCGAATGATAACATGGGAGAGAAGACAAGCGGAAGCATCCATACACATATTCACAGATTAAACATAGACTATTTCTTTCCATAAAAATATACCATAACTTAATTTTTTTTTCCATTCATAATATAATACCTTGAGATCAACTGGACAAGATAATATTAACAAGAAACCATAAGTAACCCTTTCCTTGAGTATTTAACAGATTAGAAATATATTTTTTGAGAAGTGAAGAAACGAGGCGAATTCGGGGTAACCGGATAAAACTGCAGGGGGATAGATAAACTGCTGCTCTGAATAAACTTGTCCAAGTTCCATTTACATTCTGGTTGAAGAGAGAGAAAATACTCAGGGTTGCCTTTATAAGACATAACTAAATTTAACTTGTTCTTCTGTAAGTTCTGCGAGCAAAAATAGGCTATTGTGATGATTTAAGGAAAGAGATTTTAGAAGCAACTACCATAGTTCCGCTAAATTCCTATTGGCCTCGCACCGCCGGAATACAAGTAATATACCATAACTTAATTTTTTTTTCCATTCATAATATAATACCTTGAGATCAACTGGACAAGATAATATTAACAAGAAACCATAAGTAACCCTTTCCTTGAGTATTTAACAGATTAGAAATATATTTTTTGAGAAGTGAAGAAACGAGGCGAATTCGGGGTAACCGGATAAAACTGCAGGGGGATAGATAAACTGCTGCTCTGAATAAACTTGTCCAAGTTCCATTTACATTCTGGTTGAAGAGAGAGAAAATACTCAGGGTTGCCTTTATAAGACATAACTAAATTTAACTTGTTCTTCTGTAAGTTCTGCGAGCAAAAATAGGCTATTGTGATGATTTAAGGAAAGAGATTTTAGAAGCAACTACCATAGTTCCGCTAAATTCCTATTGGCCTCGCACCGCCGCTGTGCAAAACTGCCCATGAGTAGCATACGAAACATTGCGATGAAAATAAGGTGAGAGCATCAGCTGAGCTAGAGACATGCGCTCTTGCTTTTTGTTATGAAAGTACACCAAGTGTGCCAAAACTCGCCCAAAATGGGTACAACCTTGACAAAAAAAAAATGCCCCGCATATATCAGTAGAAAAATTCTCACTTTTTCAAAACTGGCAGTTTAACTCATTTCACCCAGTGAAGCAAAACTTTGCCAACTAATGCACCTGCTGATACAGTAAACCTAGCACCCCACCAGATGTAGAACACAGCTTTCCTTTATCTTGTGTCAGAGTATCTTAAAATGTGACCAGAAACATAAGTCTTCCCCCTTTTTCTGAAAGTCCAGCAAAAATACAAAATTTTGATAGTTAAATGATAAGTCAAAAACTATCATTATGAAAGTACTTTTAAATTAAAGAACATTTTTCTGCTTCTGATAGTACAAGTTTGAAATATGTTAAATCAAATTAAATAGTTTTAAAACAATATATTAAATAGAAAATTCACACGATTCCATCGTCTTTTACCAAGCGAGCTCATCAAAAATGAGTGATACAGCGTCGAATCTTAAGTTACAAAACCCCCAATTAAAATAAAACAAATTAATGCATAGACTAAGTAAAATACAAGTTGTGTAGCATAATTTCGAATACAAGTAAATTAATTTTTAATAAGGCATTGATTAATTAATTAACTTAATTTTGCTACACAACATCGTTGAAAACTCTGTCTGTATGATAGTTGTGTGTCCTACCTGTGTAGTATAGTTTGGCTTCATCAGTCTGTAACATATTAAAAAAAAATTCCCTCTCTCTCTCTCTATACCATAATTTATATATACCATAATTTCCGGAAGAAACGCTGCGGCATTTACGTGTTTAAAACTTAAATTTTCAGCGGGTGGGACGTTTCTACCCATGTGGCATTTAGGTGCACTAAAAATAAAATATTTCCTATGATAGTCATTGTACATAGTTTGGATGGCCTTCTCATTGTACATAGACTGGTTCTGTTCCCACACAAAAGACCACTCAGTTGCTTTTTGCGAACGTTATTTTGTTTACATTCTTTCCCTTGAACGGACCTACATGCCTTATTCACCCTAAACGAGATCTCAGAACAATAACATTCTTCCCCCTTTCAAATCAACATTCTCATCAGTTTGAATAGTCTCTCTCCTCTGCCATTTGATGAATCTTCCAGGACCCATCCTCTTGCCACCCCTGCCTTTTCTGCAATTTTTTTCAAAGGCGGACATGACTCCGCCTGCCTCGCAATAATGAACTCTGACGTATTTCCCCCTTAGCATGAATCGATTCTTCTTGGCATTCTGCCAGATACAGATCCCATCAGTTTAGGTACAAGTACTTGTTGGATAGTTTTTAAGTAAGAAGGGAGTGGAAAATTTTTGAAAATTCACAAATGGCACAGAAGCTATACTGCTGGTTTTAAGCTTAATGTAATTTCATGTGCTGAACAAATTGGAAATTGAGCAGCAGCTCGAGAGTTTGAAGTGGACGAGAGATGTATTCGACGTTGGAGAACTAAAAAAGAACTTCTTAAAAATATGCCACAACAGAAAGAAGCCGAAAGAAGTGGTACTGTAAGGTGGCCGAATCTAGAGGACGACCTTGCAAACTGGATAAAGGAGCAATGAGGAAAGGGAATGGCAATTTCCTTTCCTCGTTGCTCCTTTATCCGTAAAATATTCACTTACAAGCAAAATTTATAGCAAAACGACTGAAAATAAATGATTTCAAAGGAGGTGTAGCAGATTTATGAAAAGAAAAAATATTTCTGTGCATACTAGAACAACAGTCGGGCAACAATTACCAATGGACTGGCAGGATAAAAAGTCATCTTTTCTAAAATATGTGACAGATATTATTGACAAAAAGAAACTTCTTAGGTCACAGATAATAAATATGGATGAAACGCTGTTAGCTTTCGACTCTCCTGCAAACAGAACTGTTGATGAAACTGGTGCAAAAACTGTATCTGTGCTTACGACGGGGCATGAAAGAACGCTATTTACATGTGTGTTAGCTTGTGCCGCAAATGTTGACAAGCTAAAGCTGATGATCATTTTTAAATGAAATACTACTCCGAAGGGAGATTTTCCTAATGACGCAATTATTTGTGCAAATGAGAACGGCTGGATGTGCGAAACAATCATGCATGAGTGGCTACAAAAAGTTTGGCAGTGTCGTATGGGATCTTTTTCCAACCAAAAGGTTTATTGATAATGGATTCCATGCATGCTCATTTACTTGAGTCAGTGAAAACCAGATGTCAAAAAATTTTCTATGACCGAAGCAATAATTCCTGGTGGTTTGACAAAAATCTTACAACCGTTAGATTTGTCAGGTAATAAATCCTTCAAAGCTGAAGTCCGAAAGCGGAGGGAGTGTTGGATGAGTGAAGGATTGCATATGTATAGCAAAAGCGGTAAAATGCGTAGAGCATCTTATGAAGAAGTTGCAAAGTGGGTAGGAAGTGCATGGAAATCGGTAAAAACATCGTCAATAATAGCAGGGTTCAAGAAGCTGAAATATCCTTAGATAAAGAGACTGTAAACCAAGAGGATGAATGTGACGATCTGGAAGATTTGGACTTAGATCAGGATTTACTAAATCTTTTTAATTCATATAGTGAAGAATCAGATTTTGATGGCTTCATATGATGTATAGTTTGCTGTAATTCCTTTTGTAAGTAAAATTTAAAATTTCCTTTTGTCATCCAATTTTAATATTTCGTTGTTGCAAAATTTTTTATAATATAGTCTGAGTATTACAAATATGGATTTCTTTAGTAGGTAAATATAAGTATATACGTGAAGGTAAATATAGTTTCCACATTTCTTACCTTTAATTTATTTTTGAGTTATGGTTTCATTTCATGCATTTTTCTTAACTGGTATGTCATATATCAGGACTTAAGTTGAGATTTTGCATCTATACGGCCAACGACGATGTCACACGCAATTTAATCTATTGTGCCATTTCTGTGTAATTTTAATTTTTTCCCCGCCATTTTCTCGAGTGCGGCGTTTACGCTGATGCGGCTTTTCTTCCGGAAATTATGGTAATTCCATTTGTTATATATTCCTGTCTGTGCAGTAGCTGCTGCAAAAGAAAATATAGTGATTATGTTCCAATGTAGCTGTGATGCAGTTGAGAAGATCCTTGAGATATATACATGATGAATGTTGTATCAGGAAATACCAGCTAATAACACAAGTACCAAAATTTGATACCCTGGCAAATGTAAAATGGTTATGTGGTTTGGAAGATTTTTTAAACTAATCTGCTTATTATGACATTTCTAATTTTTTTGTAGTTATTTGCTGGTTTCTTTCCCCCCCTTTTTTTTAATACTTATGTTGATTGCTGTTTGTGTCTGAATTTCAGATATATTACCAAGTTTGTTAGAGAAATATATAAATATTTAAATATTTACCCAGTCGTTTTCCTTTACTTAAGCAACAAGTTTGTCACCGTATTTTAACTTAGGAGTTAAATCAGTTTTGATGTATTTTATGTTTATAGCATTGATAAATAGAAGAGTGCAGTATTTTAGGTCTTCCTAAAAGCTAAATTGTAAGAACTTCATTTTTCTTTAAATGTAATATAGTAGTATTATGTATTCTTTAAACATTTTCTTAAATTATGAGTTTTTCAGAATCATCCAAAATATTAAACTTGTTTTTTCTTTTCAGGTTCAAACACAGTTTTCAAAAAGTGATTTAAATTCGGAGGAATGGGGTACACATTTAGTCTTTGTCAGTTCCATTTTTCCTTCTAACATACACAGCATTTTTGATGATAGTCTGAAGGAAGAAAATATTGTTAAAATAAGGTCTCCATACCTTCATAGAGTTTTACCACATGTTTCGCAAAAATTTATAAGAGTTAGCAATGATAGTAGAGCAGGTGAGCCATCATTTTTTTTTAATTATTTAAAAGCAAATAATCTTATCATTAACCAGTAATTAAATTAACCAGAAAGTGAAGTTATTCAGCAAAATCTGTTATCTCAGAAATTAGCTAACCTAGAACTCATTATTGCTGTAACTAAGTGTCTAAAATGCCATAGAATTCTGATAATGTGCATGCTCTCCTTAGTTTTGTTTACAGATCATGTTCTCCTTAGTTTTGTTTACAGATCATGTTCTCCTTAGTTTTGTTTACATATTTCATTTAGTAATATTTCCATTAAATTTGCCTTATTTATGCTTAAATAACTAATCAAAAGATATTCATATCATACGAATTATATAATCAAGATTCGTTAAATCTATTATATTATTATTAATGTCTGAATATACTGACTAGAAGATATTGGCTTGTTTTTTGTTAGTGTAATTGTATACTCATACTGAAGATATTTTTTATTATAGGAGAACTGCTGGATTTAGCGAAAAATGATTTTCAAAAAAAGAGACCAGTGCTAATTTTTTGCAATAAATCACCAGCATGTGATTGGCTATCTTTATTTCTAAAAGAAAATGGAGTTCCAAATGCAAAGATCCACGGTGCTGTTTCTCCTGTAGTATGTACACTTAATTGAAATTTTATATCTTCTAGAATTTCATTTGTGTATTTTTCAATGGCATTTAATGTTTATATTCTAATATTGATGAGAGACAAAGTTTTTTAGGTACTATTCGGTTTTGAGGGCTGTAAAAAATCACCAAACTATTGTTGATGCCAGTGCTGCCAAAAATAATTGCGGCAACCCTAACGCAAGAAAGGAAGAGTAATAGTAAATAACTATCTCAGATCGATGTTTTATTTAGATGAAAAGTTAATTTCATATACAGTCAAAAGTCCTTAATCCGGACTCGTCGGGACTTCGGCGATTCCGGATTATAGGTCATCAATTTAAATCTGGTAAGATGGCATGCAGAAATTATAAAATTAAAAATATGAAACCGTAATTTATGAAATAAAGAGCAATCATGATCTAAAGGGTATCAAAATTTACAAAAAAAGCTTAATATTTATTTGTTTACTTTATTAAAGATTTCTTTCAACGCTCGCATGCATAAAGCATACAATTCGCATAGTCGAAATTAGAAAATTGCAACCAGAAAACTATTTGATGTGTATTCGTGATATTTATAATGACGAGGAATTTGATTTAAATCATATCAAAGATGGAGTAGATCGAGATGAAATAGTACATTTAGTAAATATAAGCCGAATAAAATAAAAACAGTTGCCCTAAAGATAAGGATAGTGCTGACAGATAAATTTCCAGTTTATTGCGCGCCGTGACGTTTCCCCCCACCCCGCAGAGCAGCGTGAAATTGATAAACAGATTTCGGAATGGTTAGAAAAAAAAAAGGATATGCCTTTATCCATTTTTTGCAGAAATTCCACTTTTTGTGTGATAGACATCGAAACATACTTTCGCTTTGTAGATCCTTTGGCAGCTCCAGAATCAGAAATTCTTTTTGACATAATTGAAAGTTCAAGCTTACTTTTATAAAATTGCCCTAACAGTCTGCAAAAAATAATAAGCCAGATCCAATTCAAAGATTAAGGAACAACGCAATCTGCAACATTAACTGAAATAGATAATTAGATAATTTTAGCTTAGCTTATACCATTCGTTATACATTAAATGTGCATGCGTAAAGGTATTATGCATATATGCATGCGTAAATGTATTATGCGGTTACACATGTGCAGAAAGTTTGTAGCTTTGAGGTCCGGATTATAGATCATTCCGGATTATGGACGTCTGGATTGACGACTTTTAACTTTAATACTTTGTTATTATTATAATTTATATAAAAAAGGCTAAACATGACTGAATGGAAGCATAAAAGTAAATAACTATTTCAGATCATTATTATAATTTATATAAAAATTGCTAAACATAACTGAATGGATGCCTGCATTGCTATTTTGCTACTGAGTTATCACTAAAGCATAATTTCATGTAGTTGGGTGTTCAAACATAATTTTCTATAATGAATGGTTCCTTTTTTTTAAAAAAAATTTCTCGGTAAAGTACAGAATCGCCCACTTATTTGTTTGGTGCATTTTACAAGGGTAAAAACAATTGGATTTTTGTCAATTTTCTTTTACATTTTAAGTGAAAATAGGTCAATGTGTGCATAGATAAAGTCAAGCATGTGCGCAGTGCCATTTTTGTGCAATTCTGGAATTTTTTTTTAAAAGTGAAAATAGGTTGATGTGTACATGGATACCAAGTGTGTACAATTCTTAAAAACGCATCAAGCAGTGGGTGGGTGATTCTGCACCCAAAATTCTATTGCAGACTTTTCGTCATGGACAATTCCCAAATTTTTAAATCCATAGGGATATCAAAAACAGATTTAAAAATTAAACTAGTATTTCAATGGCATGTTAAGAAATATAGAATTGTATAAACTTACGCAATCTGAAGTCGGCACATACGCTAGATTTGGATCACTGTTAAATGGGCGCGTTTGCTAGATTTGGCACTTTTGCACATACATTTTCGCTGAAATTTTTTTACAGTCCTCAAAACAGAATAGTATCATCTTTTAAGCAGTAATTTTAATTTGCCTGTAATATTTCTTTGCATTGAAAAAATTAAGCATTTTTCTTTGTTTTATGTCATTAAATAATATTTTACTGAAAAGGATTTTTTTTTAATGGCATTGCTTGTCAATACAAGTACATGAAGAAGAATTTGAAGAACACAAAACTGGGAATGATTCATTTGAATAAGATTTGGCACCAGTGGAATATCAGCATTAGCATTGTGTCTACCATTCTTACTTGTTTTAGTTAATCCCCCCTTTTTTAATGGAATAAATCGATTTAGTATTATGATGAGTTTTTAATGATTAAGACAGGGTTTATATAGTCCTTTAGAGTAATTTAAGTCCTTAGGTTTTTTGGAATATATTTCTGGCCCTTAATTTCCTTTAAATCCTTAATATCAACGCAATTTGGCAGGAGGTCCTTAATTGTAACCATCTGAAATTTCTGTTTGTTTTTATGACTGGCATTTTGAATGGGGATTAGCATTTTAAACAAATATTTTTGGTGAATAATTGATAAATACAGTTATCTTTTGAATGGGTGAATAGGTTCGTGGATTATAATTTGTTCCTATTTATAATAAAATGGTGGGATACTCGGGTTTCTGAGAAGTGAAACATAAGCATTTCAAAATTATTTTATATTTTTCTAATGAAGAGTTCTTAAATAACTTTTAGCTTTTGGGAATGTGAATTCTTTATTAAAAGGTTCCAAATTTGGTGACTTATCAACATTTTGTCGATTTTAAGATCAGTTTCTATAAAAAAAATTTTATTTGGAAATCGAGGAATTTTTTGACAATATTTTTTAAAACATTATAACATTGATCAATTTCATTAAAATAATGTTAATATGTTGAAAATGTATTCAAAAAATAACATTAAATTGAAACATTTTTATTTTTCGCTATCATATTATAAAGTGACATTACTTTTCATTTTAGCAACTTATTATACAATATTTTGAATCTGGAAAATAAATAAGGTAATAAATGCTTAAATTGCACTTATCACAATTTGCAAAACTATTCTTAGCAAAAGCAAAATAGTTATATAAGTAATTAAGAATACCTTCGTTTTTAATTTTTTCATGGTTAGAGATTTTCCCATGTAATTGTCTCTATGCATCAGTTTTCTCTATAAAATTAATTTTACAATTTTTTTCCTCTGATTTCTTTATTCAACATATTTCTGGCTTTTTGCTGTTACAGAATTGGTAGGGGTCATTTTTCTTTAGAATTTCAGACATTGCAACTTGGAAAGTTTAAAAGGATTTGAAGGCAAGGTGTATAGACCCACAAATCTAGAAGATTCCAGAAAAATGTCTTCATGTTATTAACATGTAATGGATGTATTTTACAAAAAGTTTGTGATGAACATTTACTTTTTGGAGAATTTTTGGAAGAACAATGAAAACTTAATATTTGAATGTTTTACTTTCTGATACTAGAAGTCTGTTTCTTAACATGTTTATTTTCCCTATGTTTTCTCGACTTTCCACTACACTTCTAGTGTGGAAAGTTCTTCTGTGTAGTGGATCAGTAGCATTTTTCAAATATCAAAAATGCTGCTGATCTTATCACATCGACAGGCATTTATAGAAAGGAATTTTGCTATTAATAAAGAAATTGAAAATTGAAAATTTAAACGATTTATCTTGTATCTCTCAATGCATCATACACAAGGCTGGCGCTATGCATTTTCTCACCTGATGCAATGTCTGTGGATCCTAAATTCTGCCTAGTGCCTTCCTAACTTCTAAAATTTTGCCATTTCTAGATTTTGTTGCTACGTGTGTCACTAAATTCTAAAATTTCTGCTACACTGGCTCTATAACCGGTTCTTACCATATATAATTTCATATATCATTCATACGATGGACAAAGAACATCGATGTAAAGAAGGAAAGGTTTTACAGATGTAATGTAAACCAGTTTGGTATTACGCTGCTGGAAAGAGGAGGGAAAATTCACCAAGGCATTTGGCGACGGAACCTGACGGCGAGAATTCCCCCTTGCTATGTGTAAAGGAAATTGAGGAGCAGGTGTTAAGAAGAAAAATTCTTTGACAAAACGTGTCTTCTCTGACGTTTCGCGATAACTTAAACTCAGATTTTCATACTTTTTTTTTGCTCAAAATAACTAATCCATTAATTTATTTACTTTTACAAAAAAATATTTCCTTTTCCTTTAAAGTTTAAAGAAATTTAAAATGATATTCATTTTATGAACTCTTAATAAATGTGACCTTCAAATTTCGATGCCGGCTTCGAACGTTGGTGACACATACTTCGCACTTGTGCAGCTGTATCCCTCTTGTCCAGCTGTTGGGATGGAGCCATTCCTGCTACAGAGAAGTTTTCCTTCTTAACAATACATATTCTTTGCGATGGACTAAGCAATCTTGGCTGCCCATTTTATATACAACTTACTTATTTGAGCAATCATGTACATTGTTCAGACTAAGTATAGTTAACAAGAGTACCTAAGACTTATTGAAATGTTAGGTATATTTTTTTGTTACTGAAGTACATGCAGTAAGTAGGATGAAAGTGTATTGTTTTCCTTTCCTCACATTGCATCAGCATATCAAAGCTATCGGCATTCTCCTTAAAACTAGGAGACTCCTGATCTCCTACTAAATTTTTTAGTATCTCAGTTTTTACTTATCTGAATTTAGGTAATCTTTTCCCAATGCTTTTCTAGAAGAATTTTTGATAAATAATTTCACAAGAAAAGAAAAATGCTGTGGGGGGGTGGGGGAGGAAGGAAATTTGGAAGAAAAGGAAAAGAAAAGAATGGTATTTTCATTTCTAAATGAAACTCAGATTGGGTATTCGATTTTTCCAGTGTGATTTTCAACATAATTTTCCTAATTCATTTTTATTTGAATTGAAGTGTTTTAATCCATTATTGAAATTTGCAGAACATTAAAATACTTAACTAATACTTAATAGGTAAGTATTTGTATTTAATCTTGTTACTAATGTTTACTAGCTTAGTATTTAATTCCAGTTCACTTTGTTTTAAAGCTACAGATGGCACATTATCTGTGTGATAATACGTGCATTTAAAGTTAATTGTATTTTTACTGAGTTTAAAAACAGTTTGATAAATTAACACTTTTTTTCTTTTATTCATAGTTTCATAATAGAAATTTTAAGAAAATTATACATTAAAATGCAGTTTACCAAAAAATTAAAAGTAAAAATAAATAAAATATAGAATAATGAATTAAACATTAAGTTAATATATTTTACATCAAAATCTTGTGTTATAATTAGTTCAGTTAGCCAAATTATCCATTATAAAATGATTCAAACCAAAGTCAAATTAATCAAAGTTGTCCTTTTGAGGTCACATTACCATGCAGTACAAAAGCTTCCCATTTTCCCATATTTCAAGATTGGCATCTATGATATGTTATTGCAAGTGCAAAAAAGGAGTTACTGTATGATCAAATCCTGTCACACTGGTATTTTATCTTATATACAAGACTTGAGGAGTAATTTTTATTATAAAACTGTTGTTAGTATGATAATTGTGATGAAAAAATTATATCTTGTTATTATATGTATGGTTAAAATTATATTATTGTGATTATATGTATGGTTGTTTGAATAATTTAATCCATTGTTTGAGGAAAAACTGAGAAACATTTGTTATTAACTCCATACTCAAGTGATCAAGCCAAAAGTTAATCTAAAATTCAAGATTAAATTGTGGCTTCTTTTTTTTTTTTAATTATATATAAACTGTATATAACTATATATAAATTGTAATCTCATTACTGTAGCTAACCATTTAATCATAAAGAAACCTACTCAGGTAGTGAGAATTATTTTTCAGATATAGATACATTTTGTTAATTGCTAAGATAAGTGAGATAATTGCATCTTTTTTGCACTGTAACATTTTTCCTTTTTTTATGTAAAGCCTAGTAAAAAGATATGTGATAATTTTACTTGTAAATAAACTTTCTTGTTTTCTTGTTTGGCCTGTTTTGCAAGTTTTAAAACTGTAAAAATATTTGGAGAGGGCACACTTAAAACTTGTTTAGCCTTGTTGGTTTTGAATTTTTTGGGGGGAGGTAGACACATTGTTCATTACATCATTTCAGCTCAAATGAAAAAAATTAAGCCTTTTTTTTTTTGCTTCCCTCCCTTTGCCAATTTTCTGTGATAGTGTTCGATCTACATCTGTTCAAAATAGATTTGAACTTTTAAAATTAAAAAAAAAATGCTGAAGACTGAGTAAACTGCAACTAAAGTAGGACAGGCTCTAGGAAGTAAGATCAATGTAATGTGAGAAAGAAATTATTATTACCTCAATTTTGGAAAATTTTTAAATAAATAAATGCAACACAGTTGTTAATTATTGTAGAGGGGCTAACATTTGTGTAGTCATGATAATATCTGTTGATCTGTTGTAGAATCATAGATATTTTTTGGCAGAGGAAAATATTGTAAGGTAGGTGCCATATGTTCTTGAGTATAGCAAGATAGGATAAGTTGGATTAGCACTTACAATCTTTTATCTGTAGTTACATATGCTGTTCATCAAGCCATGAGCATGCTTTGAGCTTTGGACAAAATGACAGACAGACATTTTTACTTCAAGTTTAAACTGTATCTGCATCAGAAATATATGGTAATAGAGGCTCGAAACAAAAGTCAGATCAGACATTTTTACTTCAAGTTTAAACTGTATCTGCATCAGAAATATATGGCAATAGGGGCTTGAAACAAAAGTCAGATATGCAATGCCACACTGATCTGAAATGGGATTATCATGCTGTTATAACATTTTTAGAACTTTTAAGAGGAACTTGTGTATTGCTTTTGATTATTGAGGAACTTATGTATTGCTTTTGATTATTGGGGAACTTATGTATTGCTTTTGATTATTGAGGAACTTATGTATTGCTTTTAATTATTGGGGAACTTGTGTATCACTTTATTGAGAGAGAAAACTTGTGTATTGCTTTTTGTAATTTCATTACTTATTCAAAATTGTGCAGTGTTCTTACTCAAAAGGTTTGGGGGTAAATATATGTATTGAAAAAATACAGTGTGGGCAAAACAAAACTGGCCTGGAAAATATTTATATAAGATTTACCTAGAATTGACCCTTTTTCATAAACAGGAGAACTTCCCATTATAGAAAGTGCTGGAAATGGCCACTGTTGACTTTGATGCAGTGCAGTGCTCGATTTATCAAATTGTGAGACATATGTTGCAGCTTTGTTTGAAGGACAGCAGCAATAGTGTTTTCAGTATCCATCTACAGCTCTCCCAGTGTTTGAGAATTATTTAAGTACACCTGACTTTTCAGTTTGCCCCACAGAGAAAATAATGGAGAGAGTGGTGGCAATCGAGATGGCCAGGAAACTGCATGGCCTCTGCTGATTGTCTTCTCTCTTGTGACAAGGTGGTCATGACAGTGTGTGCTGTTGTTCCATCTTACTGAAAATATCCATACAATCATTCATCTTTTGTGAGTTGATCCACAAATGGATTAAACTGATTTTGGGCATATCGGTCAGCATTAACAGTTTGATGAAAGAATCATGATGCAGAATTCAGACATTGCACACTAAACACCAAGCCTGAGATTATACAGCAGCTCTTCAAAATACTGATGGAGATTTTCTGATGCTTAATAGTGCATGTTATGTGAGCTCACATACCCTAACAGGCTGGCTGAACCAGGCCTCATCTCAAGAAATGAAAAACTGAAGATACAAAAATCCTGATGCCACTTCACTCAGACACCACCATCAGAACTCAACATGTGCAAGTTTGTCTGGAGGCTTTAACTCATGCACAACTATAAATTTGTAAGGATGCAGTTGCAGGTCCCTTTTGATACTGTTTCAATGTGACAATCTCTTAATCCTTACTTGTGCAGTTGAAGAGCATTGCGATATTGTCAGACTTTGTTCCAGGCCTTCCTTCACTCAATCAGTGTTTTCTGGTATTCTTACACTTTTTGAATGGTTACGGTTTTTATTGGCTACAGAGCACATTTTGTGCCATTTTGCCACCAAGGTCTTACATTGAAGACTTAGCTGGAGGTTTTGCCTGTGATTAAACCCTTGTGCAAACAGTTCCACACAAATTTTCTATGAATTGTGCTTTGCATAATATTCAACAATGAATACACAGTGTTTTATCATGAGCACCATTTTGTGTTGCATTCAACTGGTCACTAAATATGTCTACACCATCATTCACTCGAATGTAATGACACAGCAAAGAACCTAGGACAAAGCATGTGAGGGATGAGCATATGCAGACATGTGACAGCAACTGATGGTTACATCAATGCCACTAGTGGCCATTTCAAGCATTTTCTGTAAAGTGAAATTATCCTGTTTATAAACAAGGGTCAGGATTCCAATTATTTTTCCAGGCCAATTTTAGTGTGACCACCCTGTATTACATTGAGAATGTTTATGGTATTTTTGAATAAATGCATTACTATCTTAGGTTGTCAGGAATCATAAGAACGCTATATATTTAATTACTAATAACTTATTTTTTGATGCCTTTACTAAAAGAAATATTGTCAAAAATGTAAAGCATAAAATACTATATTTTTATGAAATATTGTTTTCTGCTATGATATTCCACAAGTTCTGTATTCTCAAGGTTTTATGTTTCTCCTAGAGATTTTCTGAATTATTTTCATGCCAAAACATTTAATTATTTTTCTTTATAACAGAAACGATCTGAGAACTGGCGAGCTTTTCAAAATGGTGAAGTCAACGTCATGTGTTGTACTGATTTAGCATCAAGAGGTCTGGATACACAATGGGTAAATGCTTAGTTTTAAATTCTCCTTTTACAGTACAGCCATTGCATATCTGTCAACTTTCTTGATTTTACTTAGAGATTCCCAGAGTTTCATTATATCTTCCAATCTCCCAGGTCACCAAATTCCCAATTTTTTTTATTGTTTAGCCTTTATTAATGAAATTGTTTTCAATAATAAATCAGATTTATTGAAATAATGAATATTTAATTGCACATATTTCATTTCTCCACCCCTTGTGATTTTCAGCATTATGTTTTTTATTAATTTTTATTTAAGCTGCATTCTCTAAATTTATCGTAGACATTTGTAGAACTTATGCATTCATCTAATATTTAATTAGCTAATATTGTGCTTAATTTTTTAACAGCAATATGTAGAACACTACTAAATTTATCTGAAACAGCAATATGTATGTTAATTATTAACTTTATTTTCATCAATTTTGAAAGCATTTTGCTAAATTAAAGCTCTCCTTCCCTGCTCAAAATTATAAGGATAATAAAAAAAGGAATTTAAACAATACATATAAAATTTAGAATATCTAATTAACTATGCATATATTTTCCATCAGAATCGTATTATAAATGCTTGAATAAACATGCATTATAAAGCAAATTTAAATAAATTTTGAGCTTTTTTGAAATAATGCCACTGTCCGGTGCAAAAATCTCCTAGAAACTTCAAATTTTTGGTTTAAGAACTTCCCGGATTTCCGTATTCTGTACTATGCCATTAAAATTACTTCCTGCCCCCTACCAATCCTCCCCCCAAACCAAGAATTAATCTCTTGGCTTACAATTTATTTTTAAGTAATCATATGTGTTCATAAAATTTATTTTTATTATAGGTAAATTATAAATTTACTTTACACAAATCAGGAGGAAATATCACCATATATATTTATCAAATACCAAAGTGCTCCATAGAGTAACATATTAAAAGACCAGCTAAAAAAGTGGGAAAATAAATGTATGTTTAGAAAGTGTGCCGTCACAACTCTTTTTAAAGCTAGTTTAAATTGGTTATGCAAAATGCCGGGTTTATTTTCATTTCCTGAGAAGGCATTATGCAAAAAAATTTAGTTTGAGATGGAACAATCTTATAATATTAAATTTATTACAAATTAGGTAAGTCTGCTACCAAAACATTAAGAGATGATTTGAAAAGTATATGGTGATGCATCATTATCAAGACCATAAGTGTATGAGTGGTAAAACTGATTTAAAGGCAGCCGTGAAAACATCAAAGATGAACCAAAGATGAGGCACCCTTCAATTTTAAAGAATGACAAAAATGCAGAGAAAAAAATATTCCTTGGTAAAAGCTGATAAACGTCTAGCAACTCACTAACTTTCAGGCATGGTTGGAATAAGTAAACTGTAGATTAATTTCAAGTAAAATTCTGAAAATGTGGAAAGAAAGTTTGTGCTCAATTTGTGCCTCGGATTTTGACAGAATAGTGAAAAGAAGACAGAAAAGTTTGCTGTGATGATTTGCTGATCTAATATTTTGTGCATTTTTCAAATCAGATAATGATGGTGGTTCAGTGAGTTTACTAATTTTAACACTTTTACAATTTTACCATTTTTTTATTCACTATATACAGAGTGCTGTATATTATGTAGTGCTGTATATGCTGTATATTATGTAGAAAAATGTAAGGGGTCGATAAAGAAAACCATTCTTTTAAAAGGGGTCGATGCAGGAAAAGGGTTGAAAATTCCTGCTCTAGTATAAAGAATAGTAATTTTTTGATAAAGTAGAAATCTTAATTTTTGTATGGTATTGTGTTGAGTGGCCATATGCCACTGGAAATCTGTTAGAGATGGTGTGTTAGCTCTGACAAGATGAGGTTCTTGGATTTTATTTGGAATTTCTGTGGTATTCTGTCACATCCTGTTTCATTTTCATGGATAACAATAACACATAGAACTGTACTTTTTCATGATTTTCTCAAAGAGATGTTCATTAGGTGTAACAGAAGGTGGGTCTTTGGACCTAAACCTTGTAGAATGTATAAAAGATATTCTAGGATGAACTGTTGCAATTTCTTAGCTTCTTTCAAGGAACTTTTTGTAGAAAGTCCACTCTTGGAGAAGGGTGGATTTTATTAACATAAGCATATCTGAGCAACTTAGTCTGCAGCATTGTGAAAGTTATGAGACCTTTTAGAATGAACATATTCTCATTAATCTCCTCTTTTGGAGAGATCTATTTCTTTGCGTTTATTGTATCTATACTTGTATTTGCATATCATAAGAGTTTAATGTTCTATTTTTATTTTATACTTGTATGTTGATCCACCATAGTATCTGCAAGCCAAATTTCCTTTATATTCATCAACACTTTTTGAGGCATACTATTTATGGTGTTCCTTAATTTTTTATTCCAATGTTTTTAAATGTTTATTTTTTATCAATCAGTTCTCATATTCATCGTGATCATTTTTATGTAGATTATTGTTTGAAATATTTAATTTTGTTTCAGGTTAAACATGTCATCAACTTTGATTTCCCAAATAATGTTTCTGACTATATTCTTCGTGCTGGGAGAGTAGGACGAGTTGGTTCAAATATGGGAAAAGTGACAAGCTTTGTAGTATCACCTTCTGGAATTTATACAGTACAAGAAATAGAGAAGGCTGTCCGATGTGCAACACGTATACCTGACGTTGATTCAAATATTAAACAGAAAATTAAGAAACTGTTCTTTTCCCCATAATATAGGTATTTTTATAAATTGCATCAGTTCTAAAGTTTATTTGGGATTAAATGCTTTAATAAAAGCATTATATTTCTGATAAGCAAATGTTCATAGTGTGTGTATATACTGAAAATTCATACTTTGGGATATCATGAAAATAAATTGCATTAATATGTGCTGCGAGTATAGTCATAAATATGCATTTCTGTTGCTCATTAATTCAGACTTTATATCTTTAATTGAATCTGTGTATTATATAATTTATTTAAAATTTGATTTACATGAGAGTATGGATGTTCTTTTTCTCTCCTGCATGAAATGGCTGTGGCCAATGCACTGAATTTTAGCTGAAAGATATTGGTAACCCCCAAAACATATATTTACAGTAAAATGCATGCTTTTTCTCCATTGTATCAGTCTTGGTTTAGCTTTGCTATACATTCCATGGTAAAACTGGCAATGAGAATGGTGTCCCCTTTCCTCAATGCCCTAAGTGCATGCTTATTTTGCTTAGTGATTAATCAATCCCAGCTTGTGTGCTGCCATTGCAATCTTAATTTCAAGGGATTAATGTTTCCTGAAGGCTTCATGAGAGCAAGAGCTTTTTGCCAAAAGACATGTAGCTTGAATCCATTCCCTCACATAAGAGAACTCGATTATTGTGGTGCAGCTAGGATTTGTCCTTGGAGCCAGATTCAATAAGGACTCTGGATTCAACCTAGATAATGATTCATTGCCTGACTTCATCTGGAGAGAATCTGGAACCATTACTCGAATGTATAGGAATTCGGACTGCTGGGGTGTTAAGTTTTCGTAGTCTGAACAGGCACCATTTTGGATAGTGCATTCTACTCTGTATGTTTGACAGAGGCTTGGAGATTGCTGAGAGGTATAGGAACAAATTTTAGAGTTCTGTGGGAATTTTCAGAGGTGCAGTGTGCTCTCCGTTCATTTCTATCAATGATGTCCACATAAATGCTAAACTGATGGATGAATAACTTGAAAATGAGGATATTTAGATTGATTAGCCAATCTCCACACCTGAACTGGAATAAACATGTTTGAGTCCAGTCATCAAAGGTTCAAAAAGAGTGTTTGCAGGAAAAAAGTATAGAAGTAGGGTTCCCCCCCCCACATCACCACAGGTTTTAATATGTTTTGTGGAGTGCTGGGTAAAATTTTAGTTTTGCCACCTTGCCAGAGGCCAGCTTCACAACAAAAAAATATATATATTTAACATGTTGCTGTTTTTTCAGTTTTCCACGTATAACTCAAAAATTAAGCATATCACTCTATACAAAATTAAAGTAAATGGGATTTCTTACAAAATGCATATATTACATTTAATGTTCAGACAATCTGCGATGCTGCTAGAGCACACTGAAAAAAGGCTGCTTTTTAGCTGTCTGTGAAAAATGCATTACTGTAACTGTTAAACATAATTAACTGAATCCTTTTTTAGCATCGATCTTCCATGATGCCACGGAGCCACCTGCTTGTTGTAAATAATGATTTGAGAAACCATTTCCGCCCAACTCCTCTCACCCTTTAAACCTTCTCAAGGCCACCTGGTCTTGTAACCAACCATTCAATTGGTGTCCAGCTGTGATCTCATGCAATTAAATGTTATGGGCCCTTTTCAGTTATTATGTGCACAAAATGTCTGGAGAGTGTAGTATATGTGATGGATAGCTGGAAGATTGAACACAGATGGCTGTAGTGAGTCCAGTGGTATTGAAATCTTTCAGTGAAGCAAATAAAAAACAAGAGGATGGAAAAGTAGTTTGTTTAAAAGGTGCACACAAGTAGAGGTCCACTGATGAAAAATTTATTGTAATACACTGACGAAAAATTTATTGCTGCTTTTATTAAGAGGAGTAAAGAGAGTACCTGCATTATATTCATGTATATCTGAGTTCGTGCCATTAGATTGGTTGAAGAAACAGATTGAAAAGGAATTGGATAAACGTAATCCTGTGTATGCTGTGGACCAGATAAACATAACCCTATATACCCTGTGAGGAAATTAGGCATAGCAGAAAATACATTGGAGTTGGTGATATGAAAAAATGATGACTATGGGCATAGTACATTGTGTAGAGTCGGTGCATGATTTGTTAGCTGCTGTTAAAACAGTACCATTTCTTTTGCATGAAAGACACACAAAAGAGGTAAACCAGGTATTGGCAGGCTTTAGATATAATGTGGTAGCAGAATGCAATCAATTCTCATGTTTTTTTGAAACAACGTAGAAGAATACCAATTTACCGTTGATAAATTGATGACTGAAATAGAAGATGACTTCTCACCTAAAAACAATAAAGCATGCCATATTGTAAAGTATAGCAATGATGTATTGCTAATGGCTAATATTTTTATATTGTATGTTTCAAGGCTATAGGTCACAAGTCATTACTCATTCATGTTATCAGGAGAGGTTGCCACTGAACGAGGAATGGTTAAGAATTGTTAAAACAGCAACCGCTACTATTACTGAGGATGTGTGATCTCAAGTATGCATCATGACACAGGGCCTTCCAGCAGATAAATTATGGGAAGGTGTTGAGGATCTCATTCCACAATCTCTTCAAGCTTTTACAGGTTCTGTAGTGATGAGCAAGAATAAAGAAAATATTGATAAATGGAGGAAGAAATCACTTGCAATAGCTGACTGCTTACTTACATATCTCCTCTGCAAGGAGGGTTGCAGTATTTTTGTACAAAAAGTACAGATCACGCTGGTTACTTGATATGTTGAGTTTATTAGGATTTTACTCACTCATCATACACAGAAGCCACATGTTTTGAAATGTCCTCCATCATCCAACCACCTCTGACTCCTAATCAACAAGCACTCTCTCAAAATGCTGTATGGTAACGCAAGACTTTAGTGAGCTAACTGTTGGTAGGTTACAACACATTCCATCCAACTCCATCAACACAAGACCCATAAGACAGGGCAACCTAAAAGATGGTACACCAACCCTCAGGATGACCAGCCTGGTCCATCCAGAGAGAATCCTGAGTGTTATGAGATAACAATAATTCATTTCAGCACCTCTTTCATAGGACTGCACTACTCAAAGACCTTTCTCTAAATAATAGTCATCTGAAGCTCCATTGTTTCCTTTTTAGATGAAGATAATTCTCAGAAATGTCAGAAACCAACTTAGCATAATGTTTTATATTGATTAAAAAATTTTAGTAACTTTGGTGTAAGAACATTTGCTTTGTAAATAAAATTTCATTTCAAACATATTTTCTTTCATGAGTACTTCCCTGTTAACTCTACATAACAACCTGTAGCATGATGACAGTGTGGAGTGCAAAATTATTCTACTGTACTATCATTTCACTCAAAACATTCAAGTTTCATTTGCCATTTGCAGATGTAACAAAGAGGAGTAGTGTGATTTCCCATAAATTAGTGTGTCCTCCAACCACATATCTCACTAACGTTTATTAATTTCATTAATGTGACTCAAGAGTACCGCTCATTCGTTAAATATTTACAATAATTTCAGGTATATAACATTGATATTTGGGCACCACTGCACAGTTAAAAGGATGTTTTTCATGGAGAGAAATAAAGGGGCCTTTCTTCAGTATGCTCTAGTAGCGTGGCATTGTCTGAAAATTAAGCTTAATGTATTCGTTTTGTAAGGTTGTTTGTATCCTCTTGTTATCCTCATGGTAAATGCCATGTTGCAATCAATTTGGGATATTCCTGCTTTAATTATTCATGATCATGAGTGGGTAACTTCACTGTTGAATGATATAAATTTCTGTTTAATATTATGCTATGTCCATATAAAGCTTTTTTAAAATCTAATATTTCTTAAAAAATTTAAAAACCATGTATATTCACTAAATTTTATATGCAATTCTAATTTGAATTATTTTTCGATTCCTTCTGATAGTTTTAACTTACCTAAACAGCAAACAACCTAATAACAAAACGAAAGAAAAAAGTAATAACAACACTAATATATAATTTAGTTAATGAGTTCTGTCAACAGTGAGTGTTTTTGTCATTAGGAGATCCATTTTGGATGCACTTGTTTAAGCAGATGTATTTATACTTTAGTTAGCAATTCAAACTAAAATTTTTTTTCAAAGCAATTAGATAGAGATCTAATTTAGTTAGTAATTCCAATTAAAAGTCCTATTTTTTTAACTCGGCTTTGGTTTATTGTTTTCATTTTAGAAACATTTTTTTAGATTATGCGTCAAACAAATTCCCATACTGCATCAAGTGTTTCGAATTAATAAGACTTATTAAGCCTACTGAGTGTTTCTTTTTCATCATAGCAATCGAAAGTGGTTTAAAAATTTTTGGAAATATTTAAGGTTCAAGTAGAGCCTTTACCAGGCGAAAGTGATTAGTTTATATGGAAATGCAGGATAAAAGTTATTTTAAGCTATCATACTGATGCTTTAAAAATTGTGGAAGGAAATTTACTGAAACCATAAATTTATCCAGTAGATGTTTTGGTCACTCAACAGAAGAAATATAATGAAGCTATTAAGAAGTTTCAAAACACAAATACAGTACAAAGTCCGTAATCCGGACTCGTCGGGACTTTGGCGATTCCAGATTAGGGTTTTTTTCCGGATTATAGATCATCAGTTTAAATCTTGTAAGATGGCATGCAGAAATTATACAATTAAAAATATGAAACCGTAATTTATGAAATAAAGAGTAATTATGATCTAAAGGGTATCAAAATTTACAAATAAAAAAAAAAAAAGCTTAATATTTATTTGTTTACTTTATTAAACATTTCATTCAATGTGAGTTGTTTAAGTTGCTTCGTTTTTTGTGCTAATACGTTCTCTTTAATTCTATAAACAGACATAATTTCTTGTTCAGTTACAAAGTTCCACTGTTCAAGTCCTGTAATTACTGTGTCAAGAATATCGACTAACTTGTCAATTGAAATTTTTTCATTTTCAATAACCTCTCTGTCACTTTCTTCACTATCAGAAGCGCACATGGGTAAACGCTTTATGCTCATGCGTAAGTTTGTGCCTCTGAGGTCCGGATTATGGACTTTGTACTGTATAAATGCTATGATTGTATTAAGGAATTTTGTGAGGGAAGAAATGTTTCAAAAAGTTATGAGATGATTTTAGTCAGCTAGAGAAGTGTAGTTGGAATTACATAAGTTATTTGAAACGTCGACAGAAAATAAACTGT